GCTGCCATCAAAGAAGCCCGTGTGGTGCAGTGGCTAGAGGTGCTCCGCATTGAGCACAAGGTCGGTGGCTCGATCTCGCGTTTATGGCTCATCAAGCCAACCATCCCTCCGGGGTCAGGTAAATTGGTATCAGACTGGTCTCGAACTTATCTGGGAGGATAACCAGCACTGACCGGTTCAGCAGGAGACCACGGCGAGTCGTTGTAAAGGCCAGATATGCATTCACTCACCTCATACGAAGTCAAAAAATGAAGATGAATACAAGGCGCATCCCTCAGTGATTGATTAACGCCGAGAGCTCTATTTTTTACCTGTCAGCAGCCAACTTCTAACGGGTTTGCTCTGATAAGCACATATACACACTGAACACAGATATGCTGTCAGCCATTCGAAATACAATCAAAATATAATGCAATCAACTTGTTTCTTTTTAGTGCTTTTTAGCAGTGGTATGATGTTGCAAATATACGTCTCAGATGCATTAAAACTTTCTCATACATTGTTAGATTATACATTTCCTACATTCTCTTACATTCTCAGATCATGCAATTTGATTGTTGTTAGCATGACTGGATTTATAGCCGATATGTGATTAGCAGACCACAACCGTTAAAATTTGATTGCTGAGAGCTACTATAGTATTCATCGCAGAAAGATTGATGGTATCAATGATATTGTGGTAGCATCCGCCACGGGTATGGGTGTAGCGCTAGTTCGACTCCCGAATTTTTGTTCATCACTTAATTCTTTTAGGTTAATATCAGTGTCATCAAATCCTGTCTATTCAACAGTGAGTCGGCCATCTGGTTATCAACGTTTTAGTCCTTGTTTCTATCTTAATTCTCAGAGACTTCATTTGCTCAAAGGTCAAGAAGAATGGGTTGTCACGATGCCATTTTGCTTTTACTGCTCTTGACGTGAACATTACAATGAGTACTAGATCGAGCGCGTCTTTTGCATAAAATTGCATTCGATGGCCAAACATAAACACCTCGTTTTTATTGTCTTCACGAAATTGCTTTCTTTATATAGAAAAGGTGAAAAAAATCTGTTGAGAATTTAAAGAAGTGCTTGAACATCACTTCTGCATTGTTTCTGAATACATGGAGAAACTGTTCTTTTCTTTTCGTTGCTTAATTCGAGAAGAAAACCAAGTAGAATGAATTTAAATACACCTTTATTTCGAGTGCTTCGTTTAGACCACGCTCAAATTTCAATAGATCCTTTCATTATTATTTGAGCCAAGTTGTCATGTTGCCAAAGAGCAATCAAGTGCGCAACACTCAGTGTTGAGTGAAGGTTTCACTTGACATGGAGTGTAAAGCCTTCGTCTTCGATGACTCTCTATAAGGAGTGTGAGGCTCCCGAGATGGCTGTGAAAAGGTCGAAAGACGACGGGTTCTGCCCGGCTGACGAGTCTGTAAGGACGAAACACGTGTATCGGGCTGTACAAGAGCCCTTACGTGACCACATGACAAGTTGGCTCAAATAATAATGAATGAATTTCAATACTATAGTAGACGAATTTCTCAGTATTGCCATAACAAATCTTATAAACGGCCATTTCTGAGACAAACTGGCGCATCGCTTTTCTCATAGATATGTTCCGTGCAAAATTACGAATACTTTACTTCATTGAAAATGTAGGCTAACTAGTCCGAAGAAGGTGTTTACACGCTGAATGATCCTCTAACGTATTTTTTCAAACGCTAATCTAATCTGATAAGGATATGACATATTTTGAGCCATAGGTCTAGTGCTATATAGGCGCCTATTTCGTCCTATTGGGACTCATCAGTAGGCACCCTCCCTCGGTTCCGTCGATCCCTTGAGGTGAAACAATCCTCCAAAAGGAACCGACGCCGAGTAAAATTAAGCACCCAAAGTAGGATGATGTTATTACCCTGACTTTGTGGCGACCGGCAGTCGAGCTTACGGCTATTAAATGAACTATACTTCTGCTAATCTAATCGTAAATACGATTTTCGTTGAAGCTAGTGCCCTTGCATGTTTTTTATTACCAAGTATCAAAGCGAGTAGGAATGATAAAGTCAGAGATCACGAAGATCTGCCATTCAACAATATGCAGTGGGTCCTCTGTATTGTGCCATATTTACTCTGACGCTAACGTACACTGGTTGTCCAAGAGGTATGGCCTAGCGACGTCCATCTTTTAGCGTCAGTTTTCTACATCACCGTGGTGACAGAATATTCTTAGTCTCTTAAATTTTAGGGTCATGCAAAACTAATGGTGACTTGTGCATTGTTGGAATTTGCCTTGATATTGGGTTGAATTATTGAATATATGTGGCTGTGTTGAATATCATTATGAAGCGCATTTTCACTTTCTGTCTTACATACTTGGATACTTGGACGGCCCGTCCACACTAATTGTGCGGACCTCAGCACATATTCTTTCGTCTCTCTGCTGCGCGATAGTCGTCCATAACGGTGATCTGGTTTGGGCATGGCAGTTGCTGCGAGTGTCATACCGTGATCTGAAAGATATCGAGAGCTGCGACTACAGCTCCTTGATTCTTCTAACGAACGCGTCTGTTGAACGTGTACGTGGTCGTCCTTGAGACGCATAACATTGTCGTGGACCAACTCTACAGTTCTTCTCGTCCATTTGTCGTCCGTTCTTCTCAGTATATGACCGGCTCATCCGTGATTAGCTATAGATGTATAGACCTCTGGGATCACGAAGATGAGATAGACCCCGAAGATCTGATCTTCGTAAGCCGGCCAAATATTGTGTGCTCCAACTAGATTCGACAAAGCATACTTGCTGTCTATTTTGAATTTTTTTTATACTATGGAAAAGTGGCTTTTTGGTGCAAGAGTAGTTGCGGTTTCAAACCGTGAGTTCGAAATAGGTCGTAAAGCAGCAGACTGAGACGGCTCTTAACATCATACAATACATTCCAGAAACTGCCAGCGATTGTACACTCCAGCGGTGGCCGAAGATTGTTCGTAGAGGAGAAGCGAGCCCCAAATTTGAGGAACATAGAGCCGGCCAAGGAAAGATAACAATGACCATTCAAGCGCAATAAGCAAAGCTGATCCACTTGACATTAAACAAGATGTTGCAGGTAAATTCAACGACAACCAGTCTATGGTCATTTGCCGTTTTAAGAAAACTAGGAAGATGAAAAAACTTGGTGCAAAAGTAATTTTGATTCGAGTGAAGTCCATCACACGTTGCACAACAAACGCTTTGAAATCGGAATGAATCATGCTACGAAGTTTTGCCTCAAGCCCCATACTCTGCGGACCTCACATCAAGCCACTACCACTTTTTCGAGCATCTAGTTGCTTTATTGCAGGAAAAACGCTTCCGCAACTAACAAAATGCGGAAAGCGCTTTACATGACTTTATTGGTCCCCGAGGCACCGACTTCCAAGCTTTAGCGATAAACAAATTTATTTCTCGTTGACGAACATCTGTTGACTGTATTACCTTCGAGTACGTTTATCAAAGATATGTTTAAGCCTAGTGCTGACGATTCGAAGATTCACGTTTGAAATCGCATTGACCTAATAAAAACTAGAGGATAAAGCTCTCGGCTTGATCCATTCCTGAGGGATGCGCCATGCACTCGTCTTCAATTTTTAACTTCGTTTGAGGTTACTGAATATATATCTGGCTTTTACAATGGTTTGCGGTGGCCTCCCTCTGCATTGTGTCGTGCTGCTTGTCCTCCTAAGCAAGACTGAGATCACCCATCGACCTAGTATGATGTGCAACTGGGAACTATACCTAATATGCTGTACATCTCCAGTCGATTCAGAGATAATGTTTAGTGAACGACTAACAGCTCTAACGTCTTCTCAGAGTGACGAAGAAGTGTTATTGCATAGTCGAAAGGAAACTAGGCATAAATTGAAGTTGCTCAACAATTTGTGTGATTTATTGAAGAATCCACAGAAGTTTAGGAATGTTCAGATGACTTTCAAATGTCTTAACATTCCATACTTTGCCGTTGTTGACGTTCTTCCATTCGATTTTTATCCTCGCATCCACCATGCACTGCAATGTTGAAATCTACGTCTGCACCACTACTTGAGAATTATACCTTCTTCTTAAATGTCATCACATGCTATTCGCACTCGTTCTTTCAAAATTTCTGAGCTATCCTTGCTAGATCGCTGCAGAAATTCAAATTTAAGAAGTTATAAATTACCATAAAAATTACAATGCTCAAAAAGTGCATCATTAGTTAGCAATAATATGGTGAGCAATCAGCGACTTCATGCTCCTATGCTGATAGCTAAAAGAATGCAGACCAATAACGGATGTGAAAAAGTAATGGTCAGTGTTGAGGTGTAAAGAAGTAAAGTCAAAGCGTTCTAGAAGGATTTGGAGAAGCTCTACAGAAAGCGGTGGTGTCAAAGATGATCGTTTCCGTTTTTACGTAATCTACAAACAAATGATGCAAAAATAAATTTATCACTTTTGCTAAAGAATATTCTAGAGCATATATATTTGCAAAGTAGAGGATTTATGTTGCTTCGCTGCACGATTCCAAATTTGGACATACCACAGCAGAAGCGGCTCGAAATGTCCCCATGGGAAGGAGAAGAAAAATGTAGAGCGCGAAAATGGTTCAAAAAGGTTTAAGCTAAGTTTATTCATTGCCTTGGTGCTGAATAAGTAAGCGTTGCACATTAAGAACCTGTTAACGGTAACCTTCTGAGGATACAGTAGACTCTTTCAAGCTCAGACAACTGCAGGACAGACTGTATAACAACTCTACCTTTGCCATTCAAAATGTAGTGGCCCTCTTAGGAACACCTCTGCTTTCGACCGCTTTTTTATAGACCCGCTGAAAACGACACAATCTGATAAGGATATCGCATGTTTTGAGCCAGTGGATCTAGTGCTATACGGGCGCCTGTTTCATCCTATTGGGATTCATCAGTAGCATGACCAAACCTGTTAAGAGTTGGTGGCTTATAGCCAACATAGAGATGTTGAAGAATGAGTGGTGGCGAAATGTGCCTCGGTGGCGTAGTGGCAGAGTACGCGTTTCCACATAGAATGAAACGCGGGTTCGATTCCCAGCTGAGGTCATGTCTTTGCTCACCACTCATAATCGCCTCAAGTCAGATGATTGAATTACCTGACACTGTGGTGACCGGCAGTCGATCTTATGGCTTTTACAGTAAATCACAGCAAAACTTCAAGCTACAAGCTCGACTAGCGGTCACCACAATGTCAGGTAATTCCACCATCTAATTTGGGGTGATTTATTATTCGGCGTCGATTCCTTCACAGAGGACTATTGGCCTCAGGGGTTCGGCTGAACCAAGGAAGGGTCACAACTCAGTTTTTTTCTAAGAGAATGCAGCTTCCAGAGGCATTTTCTAGTCAAAGCGCCGACGAATTTACATGGAATTTCATATGGTTTCATGTTCTGATAGTATAGCACCTATACATTCTAAATGTCATCTACTACTGATAAGCCCCAATAGGACGAAACAGGCGTCTGCATAGCACTAAACTTCAACCGCTGTTATATTCACTGAAGGACGTGAGAAGGGCGAAGAGCTCGGTTTTATGTGTCTCACATAGGGCATAATGTACATCGAGAAGTGAGGTGAAGGCTAGGTCTCGCTTATTCTGAACAACAAAACAAAAGCAAGTCAGGAATTGTTCCCAACACGATGGACATTGATGTTCAGAGCCGTTGATCGATAATATTGAAAATAAAATTTGAGATAATACCTTCATACTTCAATGTTTTCTCAAACCTCGCTCAAAACAGTTTAACGTGACAATGTACTTGTTTGAGCTTTTCATGAGGTTTTCTTCATGCACTTGTACAGTGCAATATACGTGTAACATGTTCGTCAACTATTCGCTTATGTAAGGTGGTTCTCTTCCTACAAGGCTGGCTCATACGGAAGGCACTGTGCAACTGGCGAGACTGCAAGGCGAAGCACGTGTACTGCACTACATAACTGCTTCTAAAAGACCTCATGAACGGCTCGAAAAGTACATTGCTAAATCTGAGATTCCTCCCACAAGAACGATTCTAAGCAATATGGACTGAAACCGTAAACTTGTGCAAATTTTCTATTAAAGATAAAGCTATGTTTGATGCTTTCCTCAGTTGTTCCGTAATGAATTCACTTTATGTTGAGTGGGAGGGCTGAGTAAATAATTCATAGATGTTGCTTGTGAGCTGTGTGAATGAAAAGTGATTTCGTATACTCGTCGTGACGGAGCTTCTTGGAAGCAATTGGCTGCCGTACAACAACTTCAACGAATTCTGTGTTGCTTTTACACCTTAAGAACAAGTAAGATTTCCGTAGTCACGGGTACCACAAACGACAACATTTTTTTTAGAAAGACGCTTGATTTTCTTCAACTTTTTGTCAGCAGGTAATTGTGAACCTCAGCAATTATCTCAATAGGAAGTCTCAAACACAGCAAAGACACAGACCACAGTGGTTTTACTTTACACTATAGTAAAGTATGAAAGTCACAAAATACGATGCAAAAATGTAACAAACACAAATGTTCGTGGTCGCGCACAACGGTTTAAGACACTCCATCCCTCTTGGGGGACACTAACACAAACACACACACACACACACATTATTACACATTGTAGTTGTTTCGATCTCACGACTATGTACAATTAATCACTTATCCCTCTGGTGTCAACCACTCGGTTCGCGACTTGCCTTGGAGAATAAAAGCAATATAATTTTCAAGAATGTTTAAACATTAGCAACATTGGTACGCCAGAGCCATACACACATATTTCCGAGGTCTCGCCCTCCTCGTCAGTGGCCCACGCCCCACATTAAGCCCTGCATTGCTTTTTTTGAGAATAAAAACAAATTTACACAACGAAGGGCCACATCAAGTCATATTCCAGGCCGAATATGATTCTAGTCACGATGCTCAATAAGGCCGATATTGTGACACATTTCATTTGTGAAATATTCCAGAGGAATCAAGGGCAAAAGCTTCATACATCATCCTCTCTTATTTATCAGAGTTTTTTTAGTACTTTCAAGACCTTGCGGTGCCAAGAGTGATTCATGGCGCACAATTGCAGTATGCATGAAAAAGTTCACATCTATTTCATTCACGAAAAGGTTTGCCACTGCCTAAGTAACTGGAGCGACTTTTTCGGAACTGTGGCGGAAAGTCCTTGTCGAATATGAAAAATATCGTTGCAGTGCAAATTTGTATAGTTAACACGATTCTATATGAAAGCAGACCTTCGAATACTTCAGTAAGGTCTGTCGCAGAAATATTGAATACTTACAAAATTGCATATGCTGCTCATAAAACCACTTTTCAGCAAACCTCGTCATTGATACTGATAAATGTGAATCTCAAGGACATCCCTTTTTGAGCTGATAAGACGTTAGTATTTGTTGTTATTGTTGTTATTATCGTTCGAGAACTGATGTTTCGGTGACTTCCTTCATAGCCTGAACTTATTCCATGTGACACCATAGTATATAACACTCAGTCATCGAACGACAACAAAAATAACCAATACAAATCTCGAGTTAGCTCAGAAAGGAGTTTCTTAAGTTAAGGAATTCGTGTACTCTACGAAATTCTCATTGCGCTTGCAATTACTACTAATTCGATGCTTTCCGAGATTGTGAATCCGCACTGAATTAATTAATCGAATAGAATACATATGTAGAGGAAGATCTTATGAGAGACTTCAAACCCGAAGCACAAACCATGTTCGGTCTTATGTTATTAACTCAGTATTTACCCTCAAATTAGGCTATCCAAGTAAAGATGATGTTTTCTCTAGAAAAACTTCACCAGACCCTTAGAAATAGGACAGCTTTATATTCAGCTCATTGACGCTAGCAAGAAAATTGTCATCAACACAGAGGAAGCGTTACGACGATATCTTTCTCAATCACTGGTATTCTCAATCATGTAGGCATGTGCCTACGTTAACATCGAAGTCAACCTTCAGCTACAATCACGCATCGCTTGGTGATTTTTCAGACTTAGGAGGTAGTGTTGTTGTGCTGCTTATCGCACTGGGTGGTGGAAGTGATGGGGTTGCTGGCCGGACTCGTTAGTGGATTTTCTACGACGATTGAGCGAGCAAATAACTTCCTTCGGTTCACGTCTCTCTTCGACGACGTTTAGCACTCGCTTCTTTCACTCCTTCCGTCGTTCATTGTTGTCGCCCGTCGTTCCTCACATATCTCACACTCCACTCACCCGCACACTTATGTCGTTTCTATTTATTTCGTCTGAGAGAAATGACATGTAATTTCAGCTGATTTGAGACGCACTGCCTCGTTATACGTCTGCACCTCGCACTCCAAAATATTCGGCAACACTCCTTGAGAACTTCAAATTTTGGCTAGAAGTTATCCGCAAGGCTTTACCGGTTTTCTTTTCTAGTCTTCTAGTCTTTCTAGAAATTCTAGTCTTTTCTGTTCGTTTTCTGCGTTTCTACACCTTTCTCACTAATTTCCTTACTTTGCAAAACTTCACTATTCGTTGTAAACCAATGAACGAAACGTGACAAAAACTTTGTTTAAGTGCTACTTTTACAAGCGAAAGTGCTTTCTTCATTCTTGAAAAAAATCTAGGTCCCGTGTCTTCTCCAGTTGATCATCAAATAGAGTTATAACCAAGTTATAGACGGTTTTTGAATTTTCAACGATTGTGGGCCAAGGGCTCCGACTGAGCATATCTTAACTTTTTATTTTATCATTCGTGATCTTCGTCAGCAGTGTTGGTAACTTTATCTTCCAATATTTCCAGATAAATTCACGAACAATGGTTCACACAGCTTGAACATTTTTACATCTTGAATTTTGTGCCTTTCCTTGTTTTTGCGAGAAAAATATTCTTGAATGAAGCCAATAACATTCGAAATCTTCATCTAGTACCTGTTTTGGAGAAGCAGACAACTTGCTTACACAAAACTTTCGACTTGCGGTAATTTTGTCAATCTAATTATGCCGCTCACCATAGAAATCTCCCTCATTCGATGTCATGAGGAATCTCAGACTCCGATTTGTACATCGAAAATACAAATCCCACTCAAGAACTTGCAAAAATCTTCCTTTCTTTCTTAAGACTTTAATTACTACTTTATGATTGCTCTACCGAAAATTGTTGCATTATTGCCAGTTTTCAAAGGGCTGGAGAGTTTTGCATTGTTTTTACGTTTGTAAGGAAAAAACTTTTAGGATTTGCGTTTTTCTACCTGAGATTGAATCTTTGACTTGAGAGAAATACTTTTCTCATTTATATAAACTCTGAGCGGATGGTTTCGCTTATTAAGAGATGGACACATGCAATAGAAATGGTTTTTTACCTAAACGTGAGAATGCCATTACAATTCACATCTCCACTTTTCCATTAGAGTTATGAAAGTAGCAAGGTGAGTGAAGTTTCTCTTAGTCTGATTCCTGAAAAGGCTTTAAAGAAGTCGCAGTTTGCCGAATCGTTAGCCATTCTAAAATAGATATAGTATAAATAACTTAAAAGTTTTCTAACTAATTGACTGTTGAGCTTTGCAAGAGTAGGAATAGCTATTGATTGTGGGTGGGACCTCTTCGCTACACGCATGAAAATGTATTCATTCATGCTTGAATACTACGACTACGTGCACATAAAAACAAAGGTCAGTCCGAATTCTTCTAGACAGGGAGTCTATCTTTTGCTTAGTATGTTCGCACATCCAGGGTGAGAGGTGGTGGCAGCTAATTTTGGTAATGTATTCGAACCCTCCACAAGTCCGCAGCTAAGAGAGTACTTAGCCTGACTGCTAAACATTCGAACATCTGGAAATTATCATATAACGGACATCCGCCTTGACTGAATGAATCACATGAATGTCTCTACTATTACAATTTCTCCACTCTAGAGCTTATTCCAAAGAACAGAGCCGCTTTTGCCCGCCCTCTCATTACATATTCCACTATAGGCGGATTTTTTCCTCTCATAACGCGGTGTGGTATTTCTCTAGCGGTTAGTGAGGGAAAATGTGCACAGATTGTTGCTTGATTTAGATGACGTACTTGCTTATTCTAATGTGTATGGGATTTTCCACATGT